GGCAGCCATTTTCGGTGCCTGTATAGCGAGAAATCCATCCTAGAAAACAGTGGGGGGGCATTTTGAAAGCCAACGATCAGCTGTTTGCTGATCATCGTAAAGTGAAAAATCAGTTCCTGAAACAGGGAACCAATCAACGTGAATCGAAATTCCCCCATTTAAAACATTGTTTTGCGATCACAAAAACATTGGCGTAATGCGGATTCGTCGTCAAGTGGGGTAATCATCCAGCGGGGCATAACTGTAAATGAGTACAAGCAAGCTTATAAGTAATCAAATCCACATTTAATGAATGAATGACAGTAGAACATCCATGGTTTTCCTTCTGAGATTTACTTACTACTCCATGAATAAACCTTGTTATGTTTGGCAGCAAGAGTGTGAGATTCATAATTGATATGGTGAGGATAATATCCTCTGGTGGCAGCAAAAAAGGGGAAAAGAACAAGTCATGTCAAAAGATGAACTTGTGTGAGAGGCAACACATACAGGGGTCACTGGGGGTGCGCGACAGCGAGCATTGTGGAATATTTTGCTGATATCTTACTCAGTAGAGTAAGAAGACTGCTTTGCAAGAGGGGGTAGTTTGAACTGTTCTTCTTTGCTATAGGCTGCTTGATGATGGCTTTATTATGTTTTCCAACCTGATTTCTCCAGAGCTCTCAAACCCAGAGGCAACTAGTGGCAATCCATAGATCTACAGTTGCAATGTATTCCAAATTTCTTAAGATTATTAAGAAGCCAGCCTGGCTGGATAGCTCCATGCTTTAGGTATCCAGCGGGGGAGCCAGAGGTCTGGATAGCTCCATGCTTTAGGTATCCAGCAGGGGAGCCAAAGGTTTGGGAGTTTGATTCCCAACTATGCCTTCTGGGAGAATAGCCAGCCTGTGTAGTCAAGGGCACGCTCTGGTCCCAGATATTACCCACCTAGAAAACCCCCCAAAAGGATCACCATAAGTCAGAATCAAGCTGTGGACCCAAATGCTCCTATCTCCCTTCGGGCTTCCATGCCGCAAAACAGGCTGTAAGTTCTACCTGCTATTTTTCCAGTTGCAGAACATTCCTCCTTTTCTCTCTCTCTCTGTCTTCCTCTACGTTGAAATTATCAGTCAAAAGTGCAAGGTTGTAATTTTGTAGCTTTGGATACTACAAAAGCTAAGACCCCAAACAAGGTTACCTGGCAGAACAGAATACGCTGGCATTTAAGGAGGTACCACTGGAAAGGGAAGGCATCTTACTCGCTGCTTACTACACCTGGCAAGCCAAACATCATGGCATATTTGGTAGATGGGACAAAGAAGCTACTCCAATAGACCTTGACAGTGCAGTGCCCAACTCTTGCTTGGCCTTGAAATTTTGCTGACTGTGTGGCACTGATTTGGCTTCAGGCCATCATTTGGGATGAAAGTTACTGGTGGGAACCCCCCCCCCCTTTAAGCCTCCATGCAAAGGCCTTGAATGCTTGTAATGAAAACTGGCTCTGTTGGTGGGATTTAATCCTCCCAACGTATGATGGTTTCTGTCCAGATCAGATCCACTCTTGATTACTTGTGTCAAGGAATCTTTTAACTGCATGCTGTCTGTTTTAACATGGGACAGAATCCTGTTAGAAAACACTGAATGCGACAACTTTCTCTGTATCTGTGGATGCAGTCTCTGACCGACAATCTTCTTCTCTGTATCTGTGGATGCAGTCTCTGACAATCTTTAGATTGCCTGGTTGAAAGCAAAAGGGGCTTTCATGTGTGCAAGATGGTCGTGAGCATCCCCTTTCACCACTGCAAGAAACATGACAGCCGCACGCTCAATAGGCTGTTTGGCTCATAGTACATGGATTTTGGCCAGTTCCTCTAGCTTTAAAATGACTCCGAGATGGATCGCTCATGGACAGGCTCACACATTTGGTTATGTTCTGCACCTGCGCAGACATCTTGGAAGTTTCCAGAGCCTGAAAAAAAAAGTCCCTGGACACATCCACCTACTACCACGCTTGCTCACTACCTGTCTGCTTAAAAACCTGAAAAAACAAATAATTGTGACAGACTCCGGGGGAGGGCAGGGTTATGTGATTCACAGATGATCACCCAAAGAATCTGGAAAACTGGGAGTGGAGGGGAAAAACAAAACAAAGCAAAACGCCCAGCAACCACTGAGAAAAAGCTTGCTTGAAGAGACAAGTCTGCCGAATTGCAGAGGAACAGCACAGAAGGGGCCCTGCTTGACCTCTCATGGGAAGGAGTCCTACAACTTGGAAGCAGCGACAGACGAGGCCTTCTCTGGTGTCCTTACCAAATGCACCTGGGAGGGTGTCAAGACCAAGAGAAAGGCCTCCCCTGATTTTAAAACCTGGGCAGGCTCTTAAAAGGAAGTATTGTCTTTCAGATAGCGCAGACCCAAGTTGTTTAGGACTTTATAGGTAACAGAATCATAAAGCTGGAAGGAGCCTATAAAGCCATCAAGTCCAATCCCCTGCTCAGTGCATGAATACAAATAAAAGGATATCTGTCGTACTGCTCTAACACTTACAAAGTTTTTAATTTTCTACCAAAATCTGGCATCCTGTAACTTGAGCCCATTGTTGCGTGTCTTGTACTCTGGCATGATGGAGCAGACAATCTGCCCCTCCTTTGTATGACAGCCTTTCAGGTATTTGAAAAGTGCAATCACATCCCCCCTGTCTTCTTTTCTCAAGGCTAAACATGCTCAATTCTTTCAGTCTTTCCTCCTAGGGCTTGGTTTCCAGCCCCCTGATCATCATTGCCTTCCTCTGATCTTGCTCCAATTTGTCAGCATCTTTCTTGAACTTTGGTGTCCATAATTGGGCACAGAACTCAAGATGAGGCCTGACTAGTGCTGAATAGAAAGGAACAAGCACCTTGCGGGATTTGGGAACTATACTTCCAGTCCTTTGAACTGTGCCTGGAAACAGACTAGGAGCCGGGCATATGCAACCAAAAATGAGTTCACGTGCCTTTGGACATGGGCAGAATACTTCTCACCTGACCAATCACAACTTTATACATTTGAGATGTATCCTTCAAACAGAATAAAGCCTCAGCACCCATCTTTTACAAACTGAAGCTCTATTCAGCTCTGCTGTTAGAAGGGAAAGTGGCTTTGTTCCTGTGTCCCTTCCCAGCAAGGAAAGGAGGGCAAAGAGCCAGCCAGTTCTATTCAGCTCTGCTGTTAGAAGGGAAAGAGGGCAAAAGGCAGGGACTTCCACCAACAAGGAAAGTGGCTTTGTTCCTGCGTCCCTTCCAGCAAGGAAAAAAGGGAAAAGAGCCAGCCAGGTCTTTCAGAGCCTGCTGAGTACTGTTCATGCCAGGAATGGGCCAGATTCTTAAGAACACCTGGAGTTGCTCCTTCCTCATCTTCTCTATGCAGGGAAGGCTGCCCAGGTGCACCCATCTTGCTGGGGAAGCTACTGATATATCAACAGAGCACCATGTAGCTACTTCCTGATAAGCGGCACAGTCATGTTCTTTGATGCAACCAAAGGATAAGCAAGATCTTAAATAGGTTCCCCAGCCTCCCTCTAGAATACGGAGATACTGTAATGCCTATTTTCTCATTGCTGAGGCCACAATTCAAGCTAAAAGACACAACACCAAGGACCAAAGTACAGGCGAGGGTAGGGGTAGAATGGATGGGGAAGTGCATTGAGCTTGCAGTAGTCTGGTCACAACTCAAGATTTACCTCTGTGTAAACTGTATAACTTACTTTATTCCAAGGTCATGTACCTGCTGGTGTTGCCTTTAAGTTCTCCACCTGCAGCCTCCTCACGCTATCCTGCAATAAAGCATCTTCATAGTCCCAAACCTTCACTAGTTACAATCTCCTGCTTGTTCCCATACAGGAAAAATAAAAAGGCAGAGGTAAGAAAATTGTGGAAGCAAAGACATTTCTTTGGGTTTTCCAAAGCCAGGGGCCCTCTACACAGGCCAGTAATGATAGGATGCAGCAGCGCAAGCAGTCATTGTCTGAAATGCATAGATATTTTAATAATATTCTTTCCAGGATTGTTTTGCTTGACACAATGGAATTATACAAATTGTGTGAAAGCTATAGTGCCACCGTCATCTGGTGGATGCCCAGTTATATATCCTCTTGCTGACAATTCCGCTTGTATACCACATTCTTGCTTAGATGCTACAGGCAGTATGTAATAGCAGAAAAAGAATCTGCCCTTGGAAGAAGAAAAAGAAGCAAAAGTGGCTGTGTTCTTATAGTTTAGATTAAGCTTAGTCCATTCATATCACACCCCCTGGTGGTTTGCTAAGGGAATGGGTGTTTATGGTCTCCATCAGTGGGGAGAGAAGGGCAGGTGATCATGGCAACTGAAAATATCTGGGGCAGAGCACAGATTTAGGGCACATGCCCTGGTCTACTCCTGCCGTAACACCCTTGCCTCCCAGGTGTCATTTCAGTAGCCCCTTGGCTAGCATTCCAGCATAAGCTAGTGCCCCTTTCCATTTGGGAGCAAATTAGTTCACTCTGACAGTTCACACATTTTGCCTGGAGTTGGGAAAGAGAAGGTGCTATTGTTAGAGGGTAACGTTGGTACTGAACAAGCCCAGTGGTTGAAAGCACCCACTTTTAGCCACTGCAACTGGTTCCTGTGACATAACAAAGCAAATGCAGACAAAGCTAAAACTCCAGGGTGTCTTAGAGCAGTGGTCCCCAACCTTTTTGGGACAGCGGACAGGTTGGGGGTGCAGGCTCCATGTGCGGGGGCACCCCTGCACTTGCGGGTGGGCATGTCACGCTCATGCAGCGAGGTGTGTGACATGCCCACCGTTTGTGCATGGGGGCGGAGATCCATCTCCATGGCCCAGTTTCAGGAAGCCCACGGACAGGCACCGGGCCGCGGATGGGGGTTGGAGACCCCTGCCTTAGAGCACTGTTTGTGCCTCAAAACAATTCTATTATAGAACATCATTGGTACATTTTTAGGGTCACTTCTAAAAACCCAACATTAGCCCAAATATGGAGGAAGCACTTAGCAGGAAATGGCTCATATTTACTGAAGGTTTATACTGTTTTTTTCATTACTTTATGCATCAGTATCAAGGTTCCTTCTAAGCTAGGTGCGCGCACACGAGTGCCTCTGCCTCCCTCTGCAGCCATCTTCCCCCTCCGCCTAACAATCACTTTAGGTTCTGGTCGTGATGGAACCCTGCATGGCAGGTGGGGCGGCGAAGTTGCATGCAATAGGCGGAGCCCCACCCAGCAGAGCTGACAGGTGTACACGTGGGTCAGTACATAACATCATCCATCGGCCTAAAGCTGAGAGGATGAGCCGTCTTCACATCATAATGCATGGTCTCCAAATATAAGCTAAAACATTCTGCATCGTCTTCATATAAAAATCTGGGAGATGCAGGTCTTCTGGAACCTGAAGTTTTATTCCCCCATTATCCTAGAGCGTCTAAAAAACAGCATCACTGAACACGACGGGATGATGTGCGAGAAATGGGGGTAGTTTTCAAAGGTGTCTCCTCCTCTGTAAGTTCAGCTTCGAGTTCTGAAAGATGAAAAGGAAATTATCAAAAAGCTTTAGAGGACGATGCAATCTGCAGAAGACATAGCAACAGGCAGAAAGGCAGCCAATTGTAAGGAAAAAATTAATGTCCTGTTTATTTAATGAACATATAGCTTGTCTTCAGCATGCTGGATAGTTCAGTGGCTTAGCGCTCTGGATGCAGCCAGAGGTTGGGAATTCAGTTCCCGGACACTGTACCTCCTTGAGGGGAAGGAGTCAATGTTTATTATTAATTATTATTATTAAAAACATTTCCAAGGCAGCTTCTAGGACAAAGGGATGACAGAAAGACACACGAGATTACCTTAAATGTCCTGCCAAAAAAGAATTTGTAAAATGAGAACCTTCCAGTTATGATGCAATCAGCCAGTGGTTAGAAAAATGCCAGACATATTCTCACCTTCCTCTAGGTCGTTCTCCTCATCGCTAGAGAAGACAATAGAAATTTTGCGCCGTGAAGTCTTTCTGCGGGATCTGGAGAGACGAGGTTCTGGAGTGATGAAAGGAGAGCCAGTGTCTCTGTTGGCTGCACGGAGCGGTTGCCGGCGGGACCCTGTAAAAGGACATGGTACAGAATTTATGGAAAAAAACTAAACATAGAAATGGCTAAGTAGCTACAGTACTACTACAGCACTGTTTGTCAAACACTTGTTGCAGCATATATCTGTGCAAGGGACTGCTGAAAAACAGTAACAATTTGGAGTCTTGCAGTACCTTAAAGAAGTGGTCCCCAACCTTTTCCCAATCGCGGACTGGATGGGGGGGATGGCACGCTCGTGGGGGTGTGGCGTGCCTGCAGGGGTGTGGAGCATGCTAGCGTGCATTGCACTCGCAGGAGGCTGAGTGCACTCATGCGCATAGCGGCAGATCTGTGTCCGTAGACCGCTGTCGGGTTGCAGACTGGGAGTTGGGGTCCCCTGCCTTAAAGAGTACAAGTTTTATTCTGGCCTAGGCTTTTGTTGTGGCCTTCATGATGCCCAAGGACTCTTTGTTGCTTTTGCTACAAAAGACTAAAATGGCTGCCTCCCCCCCCTTTGGAACTCATTCCAAAGCCAAGTGTACTACATCCAATCAGCCTCCGGTATGCTGTCCTATCTCCCATCCTGGACATACAGCATTAGGGCAAAGGTAGGCAAACTGCAACTCCGTTTTTTGGCTATCTTTTCCGGTAGAGGACAAGTTTTAAAAGGAAAACTAATCTGAGTGAGTAAGGCATGGGAGTGGGACAGGTCCAGGGGGTGGGCGGGCATGTATGGCTCTTGAATCTCTGAAGGCCACCCAGCCCTGCTTTAGAGGGAAGCACCATTAAGTGTGCAGAAATATGTACAACGGGTTATAACTTGTACTGATGAATCACTGCAAGTTTTTTCAGAATCCTCAGATGTTCTAACTCCAATTAAAAAAAACAACAAACCACCACAGGCTGAACTCCTATTCTCCGAAGAAAACTTGGGCAACACTTTATTTTTCTCTAATAAACCTACACAATGTTTTATGTTTGTTTCACCCACAGTGTGAGAAGCCGTATTCACTCAGTATGATTCTCAGCAGTGCCCTGAATTTCACTCCTCTAAGCTCTGCAATGGCTCAGAAAATGCTTCAAAATATATAAACTGTCAACAGTAAATATGGGCCACTTAATTTAATGGTCCAATGGCGGTTCATGTTACACAGATATTGCCGTTTTAGTACAGATGGTTGAACTGTGGACATACTTGATGCTCCTTTCTTTGCTGTAGGGCAGACAGATGTATTTCTGTGGTCTTGGCCTTTGGATGTCCCAGGAGTTTCAGCGGAGGAGTCCAGGCCCTTGCTGTGGCACGTTCGGAGCTTCTGCTCAAATTCTTCAGTAAGAGCCTCACAAATGGCACAAAATGCAAAAGTGAGTAGAAACGAAACAATAAAAATAGGGGAATGATGATGGTTGCTTAGGCTGCAGCACTGAGCACCTCTTGCTTTGCCTTGTTTCCAGGGGGAGGTGGAAATGGCAATTGCTCCCTAACCCAGACTGGGAAAAGAGCTGAGCCTTACCTTCATCTCAGGCTTATTGGCCACCCTGCGAAGCCGGCCTAGGGCAGCCAAGAAACAACTGTACACCGTTGCATCCTGCAGCTTATCAGCAAAGCAATCAAAGTTGTCTTGCATCTTGCGGAGACCTCGCTCCGTGAGAGGAAGCAACGTAAGGCAGTACGCCAGATCATGGTGCTGACGCTCTGTCCTGCAAATCAGGGAGGAACACAAATGTTCAGTTTCAACTAGAGCAAAACCATGCCCTGAGAGACGGACCTGCATGTTGTAGATCTGAAATGCATGCAAGATTGCTGGCATCTCCGGGGTAAAGCTAGGAAATGTTCAGTTTCAACTAGAGCAAAACCATCCCGAGAGACGGACCTGCTATGTTGTAGATCTGAAATGCATGCAAGAACTTTGTTCCCAAAGTGGATTGCTGGCATCTCCGGGGTGAAACTAGGGAAAATGCTCAGAATATTCAAGTGGTGATGTAACAAGGATAAGGAAAGCTTAAAAATGCAGGAACCCTGCTTAATTTAGGCAGATGTTCATGGGAAGCCCACAAGAAAGACCACAGGGCAACACACCCACATCTATTTGGTACTGCAATTGGCACTCATCAAAACTTCTCCCTTTAAAATAAAATGTTGTTCTTACATATACCAGTAGCTAATGATGGCCAAGTTTATATTAAGGCAATGTCTCTTAATTACTGGGTCGTTCCACTTCAGATCAGTTTGCTCTAGGAGACACACCCACGTTTCTTAATTAACAATGGGATGAAAGACTTGCGATTGAGTGTTTCAAATGGAACTCAGATTCAACAAACATAGTCAGGATCCAGTCCGTAACATTGCTTCTTTCGGATACTCATTTTATTTGCACCATGTGTGCACAAATGCACAATTTGAACAATGACAGATGTGTACGCTTAAGAGGAAAGGTATCAAGAAATGGGTCAAGGTAATCTCAAGGTGTCAACTTCCCACTGTGAATTAAGTGTGTTTGTACAAGAGTGTACAACTGCCCTGCCTTCGTGTTACAAGGATTATTGAGCATATGGCAAGCTGATGGATTGTCCCAATGAACTTTAAGAAGGAAGGCGGATTTGGTAATGAATGAAGAAGGTAACAGAACTATGATTAAGGGAGGTATGTTGCAAGACAAATGGCGGCTGCCCAACCCAAACACCGTCATCCCCAGGACCCCTCTCTCTCAAGGTGCAGGCCTTGGCTTTATCCTTGCGTTATGCCTCTGAAACACAGCATAGGGGGCGAGAGGAATCTAGACATGGAGCTGGAGAAAGGGAGTCTAATCCAAGCCAGCTACCAAGCCTTGTGGGCTTTTTCTCACCTCCTGTATCTCGCCTCTCTAGTCTATAGATGGAGAGAAGGGGTAGAAGCTTCTTCACTGCTCTCCGCTTTCATCAGCAAGTACAGAACCACGTTAAATCCCCGGCTGAGCCTCTGGAACTGGGCAGCAGGGGCAGTTCACCCCTTCCATTTTGCAGATCTGGAGGAAGCCCAAACTCATCTTTCTCTTGGCTCTTCAGGTAAAGGTCTCTCTCCGCCACTCCCCAACCCACTCTTTAATGGCCACAACTTTCTTTACAAGTGTTTCCATGACGGCATGGCTGAGAACGTTTCAATTCTGACCAAAAGTATAACTCAGACCAAGAGAGCTTATTATATCAGCTTCTACAAGATTCCGACCCTCCTTTGGGGTCTATCGCCTGTTTTAAAAAACTGAAACTGATTGGCCTGGACATTGGGTCTTTAGGTTCACTGAGTCTAGAGCTAGCATTTCAAACAGTTAAGAGACAAATAATGGACACTGAGATTGAGGAATTGTGGAGTGCAGCTGATAAGTCTTGTTCCCTGTTGTCTCTCCACATCCCCTTGAAATGGGACAACCAGCTGCTTTCCTCACACTGCTTAAATGTCCACAAAACCACAGGGCTTTTTCTCTGGCCAGATGTAACGTCATGCCTGGTGCTGTATCATATGGTACGTATAACATGACCCCTTAATTCCGAAAGATATTGTCCATGTGAGCGCTCCCTGTGAATCCAGAAATCTAACAAACTACCTTGACTATGTTTATTTTATATGTCAATAATGGTTTGACTACCTTGACTATGTTTATTTTATATGTCGATAATGGTTTATTATTATTATTACAAGTGTTTCCACCCTGTGGGCTATCACCCCTCGCTATACGGGGCACCACTGTACAAGTGTTTCCACCCTGTGGGCCACCACGTAAAGAATAAAGCGGTCTAGACCAGACAAAGCTTTACAATTCCTTCTTTCATGTGAAGAAGCTATAAAGCAGGGAGCTAGATCAGAGCGGTGCAGGAACAGAACAGGAGAGGACATACTGACTGCATCAGCATTCCATGTTATTTTTGGAAGTAAGCAGTGCAAAAGTAGTTCTACTTAGGAGAAGAAGGATTTGGGCACATGCAGGGAAGACAGGTGAGAGGAAAGCCTGACTTTCAAAATAAAGAAAACAAATAAACAGAGGCAAAGTTGTTCAGTAGAAAATTGTAAAACTCACTGAATCCAGATCTAGTTGGTGTGGACTGCTGACTCACTTTGACTAAAGGAAGCATTACAACATATCCTGGCCTGTTGGCTGCTGTAACAGTCCCCTGTGTTCCCAGAGCAGCATACAAACTGGACTAAAGAATTCTTTGTACATAGTCTGTTGCAAATATGCAGCCTGATAAAAGCAACAGCAAATGCTCTTTATAGGCACACTTCTTTCCTAGCGCTACCATGACCAGAACAGAGAAATTCTTTAGCTGTCCCATCAAATGAGAGCAGCTTCTATTTTAAGAGCAGGCGGATTGCCTTCACTGGCCTCAAAACAGTCATAGCGTAGGTGGCAGCTCACCAGGATGAAAACAGGATTTTTAACCCAACCCTAAGCCCTACCCCAGTAGGAAATATGGCAGATCTACATATAAAAAAGGCACACACTACAACTGGGGGCTGGGGGGGGGATTTCACCCCTAATAACCGGAAAAAATTCTCATAGAAGCAAGACATGATGCAGCAACCCAAAGAGCTCGTGGTTTGGATGGAGTTTCCATCTGTAAGGAAGGGAGTGCAGTCTGCTATGAAATCACAATTCCTTTGTCCAAGTTGTTCCACTGCACAGAAATGAGCCAAAGCTATCTAACCAGCTGCATCTTGTGTATTGCTCCACATTGTCCCAGGCAATACCAACAGCAATATTCTTGTGTATTGCTCCACATTGTCCCAGGCGATACCAACAGCAGCAATACAAGCAACAAATATGACCAATCACGAAGTAGGGAACACCCTTTCCAGCCAACTCTCTCCCACCAGGTTCCTCGTCCCTGAGGTCATTGTCTCTCTCATTGAGAGATGCTCTGGGCTTGTACGCTACTTCCTTCGGCAGTTTCCTTACTCACCGAGCTGTCCGAAACCGCTGACAAAGCTTTTCCACTAGGCTTTCGGTCTGCTTGTCTTTGGTGATAAAAGAGAAAAGCTGCCTGTTGGGGAAAGAATGGTTAAAAATCAGGAGCTGGTTATGAGGGAAAAGAGAAAAAACTATTTTGCAAAGTTAGAGCACAAGCTACACTGCTGGATCTAGAATTTTTTGCTGGGCTAGAATCAGAGATACAACCTTGCAGAGAAGGTGGTCTAACATTTATTCCATGCAGGCCAAAATTTACTGTTTGTTGAAGCCAACCACACACAAGCCTTTCAGTGAAGAATGGAGTCTTCTCTTTGCCAAAACAGTACGCGTGTGGAATGGGTTTTCGTGATCACCCTCTGTCAAGCGATGCTTGGGCTGGGGATTTCCTGTTCTGGCAGAGAAGCTTGATGCCCTGTGGCAGTGGTTCCCCACCTTAGAAAGCCCAGGTGTCCTTGGACTGCAATTCCCAGAAATCCTGGTCAGCACAGCTACTGGTGAAGGCTTCTGGGAACTGCAGTCCAAAAAACAAAACAAAAAAAAAAACACACAAAAAAACACACACACACAAACAAACAAAAACTGGGCTACGCAAGGTGGGGAATCACTGCCCTGTGGGATCCCTTCCAGCTCCATGACTCTGATCATTTCAACACTTGAGACATGATCATTTCAACACTTGAGACACACCCTGCATATACTCACAGCCTCAGATGTTGTATTTCATTCTATCTTATTAACCAGTGGTTCACGAAATAACGACTGCTATTACCCAAGCACTGCCAACACTGGTCCTTGGCTTGAGTTTCCTAACATATGTGGCAGAGAAGCTTGATGCCCTGTGGCAGTGGTTCCCCACCTTAGATAGCCCAGGTGTCCTTGGACTGCAATTCTCAGAAATCCTGGTCAGCACAGCTACTGGTGAAGGCTTCTGGGAACTGCAGTCCAAAACAACAACAACAACAACAAAAACCTGGGCTACCCAAGGTGGGGAACCACTGCCCTGTGGGATCCCTTCCAGCTCCATGACTCTGTGATCATTTCAACACTTGAGACACACCCTGCACATACTCACAGCCTCAGATGTTGTATTTCATTCTATCTTATTAACCAGTGGTTCACGAAATAACGACTGCTATTACCCAAGCAGGGATGTGGTGGCGCTGCGGGCTAAACCGCAGAAGCCTGTGCTGCAGGGTCAGAAGACCAAGCAGTCATAAGATCGAATCCACGCACCGGAGTGAGCTCCCGTTGCTTGTCCCAGCTCCCGCCAACCTAGCGGTTCGAAAGCATGCAGATGCGAGTAGATTAATAGGGACCACCTCAGTGGGAAGGTAACAGCGTTCTGTGTCCAAGTCGCACTGGCCATGTGACCACGGAAGATTGCCTTCGGACAAACGCTGGCTCTATGGCTTGGAAACGGGGATGAGCACCGCCCCCTAGAGTCGAACATGACTGGACAAAAATTGTCAAGGGGAACCTTTACCTTTACCTATTACCCAAGCACTGCCACCACGAAATAACGACTGCTATTACCCAAGCACTGCCAACACTGGTCCTTGGCTTGAGTTTCCTAACATATGCATAGGACTATGGGAAAGGCCAGGGTCTAGGTTCGCCTGCAGTGGGGCTTTGGGGAAAGCATGAAGTCATGTGACCCCCTAACGTCTGCAGCCTTTCTTTGGCTATTCTAAGTTTTAAGGACAAAAGGAGAAACTCATACAGCTTCCTGCCTTCTTCTGACCACTGTAAGTTGTGCAACAGGATGCTAACCTTTGTCCAAATCCCCTAAAGCCCACCAGAAGAAGAAGGGTAGACAGGAAAGGGGTTGGCCCTTGTTTCACTAATCACCACTTTCCTCCATCCCAGAAAGCTGTTGCCTGCACTCCTTCTAACCAATCTAGTTTTTTTTTTAAATTAAACTCGCACTAGGAATGCCCTGGTTACCTAAGGCACTGGTTCTTAACCTTGGGTTACTCAGGAGTTTTGGACTGTAACTCCCAGAAGCCTTCACCACCAGCTGTGCTGGCTGGGGTTTCTGGGAGTTGCAGTTCAAAAGCATCTGAGTAACAAAGGTTAAGAACCACTGACCTAAGGTATGATTTCTACAAGAGCATTCTGAAGGTTTCTCAAAACTCCTGACCCTCATTCTGATTTTTAGTATGGAGTAGCTAAATGCAAGGTGAGCAGGCCCTTGAAACTGAACCTCTTGACCTAGCTTCATTCTGGATCAGAACCAGGGGACTCGAGGGGGCTCCTTGTCTGCTGCCTGTCTGCCGACATTCAGAGGCACAACCTTTCTGAACATGAAAGCTCCGTTTCTTGAAGAAACCTGTCCGATACAATCTGACACACTGCCACATCTCCTATTCTGTTTGTTAAGAATTCCAACATAGCCTACAGAACACTTGGCCTGGTAACAGACCTGCTTCCATTGGCCAGCCTAAGCGCTAAGGTCACTCTGTGCCTGGTAAACCAACTTTAAGGGAGAAAAACCAAAAAGAAAAAGAAAAAAGCAAGCCACCTCATAATGGTATGGAAAGGCTGCTCTTCTATGCCAGAGTCTGGGTCAGAGAGACGGCTGATCATATCTGGGAGCAAGTTGTACACAGCGTTGTCCTGTATGGAGAAAGCGAGAGCGCAGCGTGTTAAACCCTTGAACTCCTCCAGTACCAAAGCTAGGGCTGGACTTGGCAGGGCTACAGATTCTGGCTAAGATACAGGCACTAAAATCAAGGCACAGGCCAGCTGCTTTGTTTTTTTCACCAGCCATGCAGAGAGAGAGGCTTCCCTGACATAGAAATGTGAGAAGGAAATGAACTGTCAAAGGGTAAGATAAAAAAAATACTGTCTCACCTTTGAATAAGTGGGCTACTGTACCAGAGCTAAATATAGAACAATATCTTAAAAGAATGCTTAAAAATAAAATCAATCTAGAGAGTTTATAGCCCTATTAAGGACATAAAAGAGGTGGTTTCCATGGGACTTCAAACCAGCATTTGATATTTACCAAAGTATCATTCTGGATCATTTTTGAGATATGAGTTTAGGAAGTACAAAAGGTGGCTCCAGACATTCCCTGCACAGCAGGTCACTGAAAGGGGTGTGCTTGGGGGAGGGTGTTTGTAGTAGTACAGTACTTCCCTCATATGAATGTGCAGGAGGAGGCTGTCCAAAGATGTGGGCTCAGATGCCAAACATTTGGCAGTGGGGACCAGAGCAGGAAGGAAAGGTTCATTTGGCCGCCCCGCTATGCAAAGAGCCAGCTCCACCCTCTCTATCTAGGAGGAACTAGTGATGAGAATGGGGATCCAGCTGTTGCACTGGAAATATTTCCCTTTTTAAAGCTGAACTCAAATGCTGCCCCCGCCACCAAAAGCCAACACATTGATATTCCTAGTTTTGCTGCACTGTGCAGACACTAATTGTTGCCTTTACCTGTTTCCCAAACCATGGCCTCCACCTCTTTTGGTTGCTTAATTTAATTGTCCTTAATTGGCTACTGCTCAATTATACTATTCTACTTCATTTGCTCTTTGATTTCATGTCTCCTTTTGTATTTATTTATTTATTTATTTGATTTATATACCACCCATCTAGAACGTGTCTACTCTGGGCGGTTTACATATAACATAAAAATAAACTAAGGTAAAATCCAGATTAATCACAGAGTCCAAGATGGGAAGAGAAGAAAAAGAAGAGAGAGAGAAAAAGAAAAGAGGAGATACGCTAGGTAATGGTTGCAGGGAAGGCCTGCCTGTATTGCCTTTATTTTAATGTTATCTATTAAGTAGTTTGGACACAGAAAGGGAGCTTCAGGTCACTGGTGAGATAAGATTCTATTTGCATGTGAACTGATTTCATAGGGAAGATGGCTTTCTGTTCTAATTGTCATGAGCTCTCTGACAGGTATAACTGGGCCTGTTACCTGGCAATTGGGTTTTGATCACCTGCTCTATCTAACAATATTTGAATCGTAATGCACAGCAGTGAGGTGTTCTGTATTCCAAAGATTTAGCACTACGGTCCATTGACTCACCTTGCTGGAGAGTTCAGTGAAGAAGTTTTGCGCCAGTCTCGCGATCTCTTCCTCTGGATCAATAAGAAGCGTTGCCATTTCGCTCACCTGCCCCTTCACTTTTACCATGTCCTTCAGGATCAGGTGAGTCATGACCAAAGCAGCTGTCTGCCTCACGTACTGACAAGGGTCACGCAGCCTGAGGAGCAAACCCGTTCAGAAACAGCGTGAGCATGAAATCAGTATCACCCTGGGCACCATCAGACTCCCTGGTGGCCTTCCCACCTGGAAACCGCTTGATTCAGCTACCAGCCATCCTGTGCTAATCCTACGGCTTGCACTCTCAGGCCCTTCCCACCTCCCACGGCTCTCCTTCCCAAGGCTTCACCTGGCGTAGAGGTGGGACGTCCAAGGTTCCACCACATTGGGGAAACGGATCGCCAGGTCCCCAGCGGCAATCATGAGGTTGGCACGCACGCTGGAGTGAGTGGATTTTTCCATCATCGTGAAGAAGAGACGCAAGTGAGCATCACAGAATCCTGCACTGCATCGAAAAGAAAAGAAAAGCAACTCTGGCTATATCATGAAGAGACTTCCAGTTGTAACCTGCTTACAAGAAAACATACAACCAATGTGAAAAGTGCCCCAAAAGAATAAAGAGGGTATGGGGGGTGGGAAGAGGATAAGAAATACCTGATCATACAGTATTTTCCAAGGGCCAAGGCAGCTGCTGCTGAGAGGGCTGGATCATTGTAAAGTCCTGGGTTATTGCAAATCTTGAGCACCAGGGGAATAAAGGCGGAAATAAGTTGTTTTCCTATTCCATAAGAAGAAGCAGAGAGGTTGCAACAGATCAATTTAGGGAACCTTTAGATCTTTTCCCCAACAACCTGAGGCTGGAAAGCACATTTTCTCTCTAAAACATGTTTGCTTTTCGGTCTGTTTCAGGTAAGTGCAAGTAAGCAGTTATAATTAACTTTATGTTTTTAAACACAATTCAAGAGGTCCAAGAGATTAACAAGAAAAGAGCCATGATCAGACCCAAGGCTTCATATAGTCCAGTATTCTCTCCATGCCGTGGCCAGCCAGGTACCCAGGGGAAGTCCATTAGTAAGGCATGAAGCCACCACCAGCATTCTGCTTGTACCACTGCCATCAATGTGATTTTATCCTCATACATTATTTTACATGTTGTAACACATCTTGAGTGTGAAATACAAGGCATGGATCAAATCACGGAAAATAAAATGATGCTTTTATTGGGAAGACATGAGAACATTCCAGATTCCTTTTAACATTACTGAGCACTTTTTACGTTGCAGTGAACATGAAGGCTTCTCTGTTCAGCTAATTACTTTTCACTCCAGACACCATTATAACCATCACTAACGGTGCTTTAGTTTAATCATTCCTTACAACATCAACCCTGTAAAACCTTAACATCCTATGGAGTAGGGGCCATTTGTGGATTGCCTAAAGTCACCTACCGTTTTCATGGGAAAGGCAAAACACAAGCTGGGAGGTTTGTTGTTAGTCACTATGATGCTAACATAACTATTGACTACAAAGAAGCTCAGCCATGTGGGAGAGATGAGACAGAAGGAACGTCTTCTACTCAGAAAGCCATACTCACCGTCCAGCAGCTCCGTCTCACAGATGGTGCGGATGAGCTCTGCTTCTGCGTCCTCAGCAGAGGCCCCCACCAACCCAAGGTCCTCTTCCATAGTGGTCTCATTCCCAGTACTCTGTGCAGAGGGAAGGAAACTACTGGAAGTTAACATTCCTCATTCCCCAATCCTCTGATACAGGCTGTTGTTTGAAGCAGGGCATGGTTAAAGCAAAGCAAAGTGTGATGCCTATATACTGCCCCATAGCATTTAAAACACTCTCTGGGTGGTTTACAAGTTACTTATGCAGACTACACATCCCTCCCCCGCCCCCAGCGATCTGGGTACTCAGTTTACCAATCTTGGAAGGATAGAAGGCTGAGTCAACCTTGAGCTGGCCATGAAGCTCTCTAAGGCCAAAGGAAAGGGACAATATTAACAACCGTTTCAGGTTCTATCCCTGTACTTCAGAAAATCATTCACTACTGTAGGTAAAGAGGCTGGAGGAGAGTTTTGCAGATACCCCGGACAGCCAGAAAGACAAACTAGCAGGTTCTAGATCAAACCAAGCCTGAATTATCTCCGGAGATAAAAATGTCAAAACTGAGGCTGTCCTCTATTGGCCTCATCATGAGAAAGCAGGGTTCTCTGGAAAAGGCAATAATGCTGAGAAAGGGGGAAGGCATCAGGAAAAGAGGAAGACCCAATATGAGATGGACTGGCTCCCTAAAGGAGGTAACAAGAGCTAAGGAGGGCTTTTGGGGACAGGACATTATGGAGATTGCTTATTCATAGGATCGCCATAAGCTGGAGACATCTTGATGACATGTAACAACAAAGGGTAAGAAGTGTAATGGCCATCTTTTATAGGTCTAAGTGACTTAAGTCAAGTGAACTTTAAAAAAGAGGGGGTGGAGGAGACAACAAACCAAGAGAAGACCAGCTCTCACCTTGTTCTTCTTGTCCTTTGTCTTGCTGGCAGCCTGCTCCTTTGCTTCTTGCTCTTCTCCAAGGATCCGGCGCCTGCGTAGCTCATTGCTCACGGATAACTCGAGATGTACAAGCTGCTGCAAAGCCACATCCCCCGCGAGGGAGACCAAATGTGTTAACACGACAGTATCCACCGTGCTAGAATCACCACCGGTTTCACTGGGAGAAGATCCGGGTTCTGAAAAACAGACAGAAACTTTTTCATGACATGGTTACAGTCTATTCTTTCTTCCTGGTTGTTTCTCTGGGATGCATAATTATGGACTGAGGTCTTGTTGTCCCACACCTAGTCTTTTTTTTTGGGGGGGGGGAGTGGCGGCGGCTTCACTGCTCTGCTCCCAAGGAGGTCCTACTAATAGTAATTCTGTTCCCAACTAACCTGTTTCAGTCCTTTCAGATTCCTGCAGCTTCTCCAAGGCACGTTGGCTGCAAGACTGCAAGATCTGAGCACATATTTCCTCAGGTCCTTCTGCCAACTGATAGATGAGAGCGACTGCTGTCTCGGTGAATGGGATCCAGTGTGCACTTGATCTTCCAAAGCCTAAAGCAAGTCAGATGGAGGGGCGCATGATCAGAGAAGCCCATGGGTCTGTATAGAGGTCCACCCTTAGCTTTAAGCTTCAGAAACTCACCCGCCGTCACGACCTCTTGTAGCCGTTCAAAGAGAATGTGTGACTGCAGAAGCCGGAAGGGGGCACTGCTGTTCTTCCCGAGGCCAGGCTGTAAGGGGAGGGGGAGACTGCTTTAGTTTTCCCCAGTCAGGACCTTTTCTCCTTTGCCTTTTGGCAATGGCTTTGTACACTGGTTAAGGGAAGTAGAAACATACTTCTTGTAATGAGTGGCAGCTTGTCTGTAGCTCCTTGTGTACAACACCCAATTTATGGACCTGTTTCAACTAGTTTACACCATAGTTGGAGAACTAAAACCTCCACTGATACCATAAACTATGTTATTATTCTGAATCCATTTTATGTGGATGGAGTCACTAGCTTGTAATGGTTTTGTAGCTACACAGCTAGCAGTTTCCTGAAGAGGCTGCTGAGCTATAGTTCCTCCGCTGGGTGCTGTTTACGCTACAGGGTTTCATTCTATCTCCAATGCCATTTAACATTTGAGTAGACTAGGGAACAATCTGAAACTATGAGGTCCCAAAGGAACCCTCTTTCGTATGAAACTGCCCGAGAGCTCCCTAAAGACCTCTTCTGGGTTCACCCGCCTTTGCAAGCTAGCTCAAGCTTTCGTACCCTTTCAACCTAGACTTTTGCTTGTTACCACCACAAGGTACTTCTGTTCACCCAGCTTGGTCTAACCCGTTCACCCAAGATCTTAAAGGAATCAACCTCTGAGTGGGCCTGCCTGTTTGGCCCTGCTGAAACCATTAGGCCTGAAAACACAGAAAAGACAAAATGGGTGGCAGAGACTATGCAAGCACACGGAGAGCAGTCATTCAGAAATTCAGACGTGTGGTGCCAAGCGGGTAAAGGAGTGGAAAGGGCCTTTGGCCAAAAGCACTTAGGAGCTCCTGTGACTAGAAAGAACCTCCTGATAAGGCAAGGCTTGTGATCCCAAGAGCTCTGTAACAGCACTTGGCAGACGAAACCGACACCATCTTCTGCAGAATTTGTTCTATGCCTGCAACCCATTCTTGTCTCTGTCTCCCATTTAGTTCTCTTCATGCTTTCAGGCATAACACTTGAATAGAGGGCTTTTGTTTTAATGGACATTGTTTGTTGCTTGGGGTGGTGTTCGCTGTTTAAATAGTGTATTTTCAGTTACACATACAGTCCCCCCCCCTTTCAGGGGGGATAGGCAGGAGAAACATATTTATATAAAAATAAAGCTTTCAAGAATATTTGGATACTTGAAAAACTGCACCTGCACTGCATCTGATGGAGAATATTTGCAATGCAAAAATGTGACTAGACACTTAGAGAATGTAGAGACATCAGAACTCCAAGCCTAACTACTGAAAATGTCAATAGTATTTACAAATATTCTCATAGAAATATTCTCCAGAGTACAAAATAATCTTAATTCCACATGACGAGCAATTGTAGCTCTCCCATCTCCACGTAGTGAGTCCTCAAACTCATCTGAAGAGCATACTTTAATAAATTAGGTGCACCTGCTGTGGTACATACAGTGTAAAAAAAGAATCCAATATGATCAGAAGCACTTTCTCACCTTCTGGCTATTACCAATTTTGGAGATAGCATGGCATACTTCCCGGGCAAGGTGATAATCTTCATGTGCTCTCTCGTCCAACCCCACTTTTACCAAAACGTCAAGGTTGCTCCCCACAATCTCAGGGTTCCCCCTGGTGTTGGGAAAACAGATTTTGTTAAGAGTCAACGTACTGCTGAATTCCTCCAAGACGTTAGAGGGACTATGAAGGACTAAAGTCATTTCTTTCAATGGGTGAGGCAATGGAGACTGCTTCCCAGACCAAGTTCTACTTTTGCACAAAGTCTCAGCTAGAGGAAGATAAAAGAAAAAACAAAAATCTCACTGGGATGCTGCAACTACAAGAACCTCACAAAACTCAGGTATCCTTACTCACTATACTAGAATCCATATCAAGGCAACCAAACTGGCAGGAAATTTATACAAGCTTTCTGTTCTGCAAATCTCTTCATCAAGCCAATTAGGGAAGGGAAAGGCTTAGGGTGGAAATATAGCTCTCATTCCCTGGAATAGAATGGGAGAAGTTTCTCTGTGCCCTCACCTTCTCAGTGGGAAGGCACACTGTATGTGGGAAAAGTGTACTCCTGTTTCCAATCAAATTAAAGAGTAGCAATGCCTTCTCGCCTAACTAACTGGGAAGGAAAGCAATGGAAGCATAGATGTAGAGTTCTTATGTTCCTGGTTCTCTCTCCAAATCAAGAGGGAGCTTCACCTGACCTGCATGTATAAATCCATTCACTGGGGAGAAATCATTTTGTTTTAAAGGTGAGGAAAGCAAAGATATGAGGCTAATTGGAAGACAGTAAAGCACTCAGTTGCCCAAAAACCTAAATGTGAGAAATCCAAATGTCCAACAACACAGGACTCTTCTGTGTGAAGCAGGGAAGAAAAACTGGCAGCACATCCCGAGAACTAGAACTGTTTCAAAAATCACAAGTCATGGGATCCCTGTCTCCTTGGGCAGGTGCCTAGTCCTTGGATACCTCCGGACAACAGCCAGAGAATGGCAACTTCAAAATCCTGAGAAGCAATGGCAAGTCATTCCACCTCTTCAAGAATGAAGAGACGTGTAAATGCAAGAATAAATTTGTATGACCTTTCCTGAGAAAAGTGCAAATTCTTTTAGGACCCACTGCACGTTGATTTTCCTTATATTTTCTGAACTTCATGCCAGAGTGAAGAAGGCAGAAACAGAAGCAGTGACTCACCTTGCCATCATCCCCAAAAGCATGAGGGCAGCACGGCGCTCCAACCCTGAGCACTGTGATTTCTCCGTAAATCGCTCCCAGAGCAGCTGGACCACAGCAGGTTTTATTTCATCTTTTTGCACAAACTCAGAGATCTAGGAAACCACAAAGTTTTATCAGGGGAAGGAAAGTGTTCAGCTATTTTAAAGGATAAAGTAAGAATGAAAGCTAGTGCCTGATCAAGACACAACAAACTATAAATGGAGCAGCTGGAATAAACCTAACCCTGAATCTGCCCTGGCCAGCTACCATGGGATTTTTATATCATTTTGATATAAAAAGTGGAACTCCATGAAGGCCACTGCTTTGGAGTCAGCAGGCTAGAAATTCAGAGGGAATTCTCTCTATTTGGACGATGTATAAGTGGAAGGATTCAAATGTAAGGTGGGTGGGAGTAAAGACTACGCTGAAACTATACAAAAGAAATGTAAAAGTAGGAGATACTTTTAAGACCACTAAAAAAACACCATACAGTCTCCTAGCTTTTGTGGATCAGGACCATCCACTTTATCTGGCTTATACTGCTTTGAAGAACTTGGAAGTCCCAAAAGTTCATGGCAAGATGGGATTTTGCCAGATAGTGCTTTTCTCAGATCTAAGCCAGGAAAGATGCAGACTGCACTAGAGATGCTTTAACGTTATAGCCAAGGAAGATGTGGATTGTGTATCAAACCCCAGTTCACAAAAGGATTTTTGTCAAGAGTGGTAAACATGTGCCTCAGCTTTTAAAAATGGTTGGAACGTGGCTTAAGAGTGCTATTTGGGGTTTTATTTTACTTCTGGACCATAGCATGTTTCATTCTTAGGCGATTAAACAAGGACAGAGCGGAGGCATTACACAGTGCAGCAAGACAGAAGAAGGATCTTACAGCCAAGGAGCTAATTCATAAGAAGTGCCCAAGAAGTCCATAAACAGGACATGAAGGCAATATAGTTTGCCCCTTGAAGGTGGTATTCAGAAGAACATATCTCTGAAACACACAGGTCCAACTTAGCTAACCGTCAGTAAATTTGCCTTCTCCTCAAAAAGATTTCAGCCAGATGCCATCACTACATCCTGCAACAGGGCAGTCTGTAAAGTGTGCTTTGTGGGAACCCCAAGAAGTCCATAAACAGGACATGAAGGCAATATAGTTTGCCCCTTGAAGGTGGTATTCAGAAGAACATATCTCTGAAACACACAGGTCCAACTTAGCTAACCGTCAGTAAATTTGCCTTCTCCTCAAAAAGATTTCAGCCAGATGCCATCACTACATCCTGCAACAGGGCAGTCTGTAAAGTGTGCTTTGTGGGAACCCAGTGGAATAGGCTGCCTCGGAGTGTGGTGGAGTCTCCTTCTTTGGAGGTTTTTAAGCAGAAGCTGGATGGCCATCTGTCGGGAATGCTTTGATGGGAATTCCTGCATGGCAGGGGGTTGGACTTGATGGCCCTTGTGGTCTCTTCCAACTCTGTGATTCTATGAATCCACTGGTCCTTCAATGCCACCGGACGTCCCCATAGTCCGACAGGATGAGGGAAAAATATTTCTCACCATACAGCTAGGCATTTTATACTCCACTCTCATGTCTCCCCCTCAGCTGTGTTGTTTCCAGGCTAAGGGACACC